TGGTCCTCTGGCTCAAGTGATGCCCTTCCAGGAATCAGAAAATGTTTTGTGTCATGCATCCCATCCTGGGAGAGAACTCCAGAAATGTGGTAGATCTGGGCTGGGGGTGCAGCTTAGTGGTAGAGAATGAGCTTAGCATGTACAAGGCTGTGGCTTCCATCCCCAGCACCAAAATGAATACAGTAAGTAATCAAATAAATAAATAAATATTTATGAAATGTGACAGATTTGGTATTCTGGAAAGAATATGATACATTTATTACTGTTCCAGTTTACCCAGTCTTGATACACAAGTAACCCCAAATTTGGTAACTAAAAATAATCTATATTGGGTCTTCTACTTGCAAAGGCTCAGCTGGGCAGTAATTTACCTGGGAATTTATCTTATGATTGCAGCTAGACGGCACCTGGGGCCGGAGTCTTCCAGGGCCTTCCCTACACTAGATATCCARGAGGGCTCACTCAGAGGATTGGCAATTGATATGAACTGCCCCTGCCTCCAGTCTTTTCCTAGTTGCTTTGATTGAGTGGGTCTACCATCATTTTTTAATAAGTATCTTCTGATGGGCATATAAGTAGTTTTCAGGCTATTATTATCACAGACCAAATTTCAAGGCACAAGATGTGAWATACACTTTTTGGAATAAATTTTTTATTTAGGAATTTATATTGCAAATATCCCTTCCTTTCTGAGAAGTGAAATAGTTTGGCAGGCCTGCTGATAGTCTGGCAGAAGCTTACTTCATCAACCATAATATTTTACCACTTAACTAACCTTGCATTTTCTTTGAACACGTCTCTCTCTAGGCTTTCAATATAATTTGTTAACATCTGGTGGCTGTGTTGGTCATAAGGGTGGCATGCAGTGCTTTGTGAATGGTAGGGTGTACCTCCCAGTGAATTCCCTAAAGGAGTCTCAGTGGTGGCTGTTTTCAATGCCAGGAAATAGGGTTTACAAAAAGTTGGAGAAATGGGAAAATAACCTCTGCTGCAGGATACTTGGAGAATTTCAACGTCCGCTGTAGGAGAACCACAGGAAAGCTGGGCATGGTGGTGCACATCTGTAATCTTAACTGCTCAGGAGGCTGAGGCTAAAGGATCACAAKTTGAAATCCAGCCTGGGCAATTTAGTGAGACCCTGCCTCAAAATAAAATAAAAAGAACAAAGGTGTAGCTTAGTGGTAGAACACTTCTTGATTCAGTCCCTATACTAGAGGGATTTTAAAAAAAAAGGAGAAAAAGAGAAAAGTATTGGCTGGGTACGTAGCTTGGTGGTAGAGTACTTGCCTAGCATGCAAGGGGACTTGAGTTTGATCCCTAGCAACACAAGGGGAAGAAAATAAAAGGAATTTATCAAAAAGATTAAGGTAAATAAAAAGTAAACAAGTGTTCAGGTTTTAATTGTGGTTGACAAGACATTCAAAAGACAGTTCAGCTCTAGGAGCTTCATATAGTGGCATATGCCTATGATCCCAGTGACTCAGTGAGGCAGGAGGATCACAAGTTCAAGGTTAGCCTTGGCCACCCGGRAGAACTTCAGCAACACCTTCACTCAAAATGAAAAGGGCTGGAGATGTAAAGATCAGTGGTAAAGCACCCCTAGATTCAATGGAGGTACAAATGTTTTTAAAAAAAGACAGCCCTGGAGTTTTACAGACTTTATATTGGAATTGTGAGGGAGGGTGAGTTGTCTCTATTCTTTTTCATTAGCCCCTCACTATCTCTCACTTTACCTTTACCTTATGTGGATGAGACCGTCAGAAGCTCAAAGTACTTGTGGAACATGTTTCCTCTCTGAGAAATCCCTTGAAGGGAGGTAGTGATCTGGATGGGAATTGCCAGACAAGGAGACGACCATGTCCTGGTGCCAGGAAAACCTTGGTCATGGCTGGGTCTTCCTCAGGCCAGAGTCAGCCCCTTCCTCTCGGGGAGAGGCAGGACAGAGGCAGGGCAGCAGCACTTCCCYGTGTGCCAATAGAGGGTCCAAGATGGCCAACCAGTTGGGTCATCCAACTTGACCCCTGTGACTATCCTTTGCCTTCCAGGGGTGCCCTCCTATATATATCTCTCAGCTCCATTAGGGTCGCCCAGGTAGATCCCTGAGGGGATCCTACCTCTCTCCATTACTGTTACTTTCTCCATTAAATACTTTCCAGGTTCTGGCTGCCCCCACTGAACCGCACATAGTCCCTTGTTTCCCACTCTCCTCTCCCCGAACACTCTTTGCCATTTACCTGTGTTCCTCCTCATCTCTGCATGGCCGAGGGGCCCTCTTTCTCTGGAAGCATCTTCCCCAGGACTCCGCATCTGGAGTTGGTGCTTGCCCCAGATGCCTCTGGCCTGTCAGATCTCAGTTGCCTGTTGACTTCTCTGCTTCCCGCTGGACAGTGGCAATGAGCCGTCTTGTTTCAGATCAATACTSACTGAGCACAGGGCTTGTTTCAGACCGACCACTTCAGTGTTAACTGAGAAAAATTAAACTCCAAGCAAATGAGAAAGAACTGAAGGGCCAGGGTGTAGCTCAGTGGTAGAGCACTTGCCTGGCTTGTGTGAGGCCCTGGGTTCAATTCCCATAACCACCAAAAAAAAAAAAAAGAGGAGGAGGCAAACTAGAAAACCCTGTTCTGGGGTCTCATGCCTCCCTCCAGACTTCCTGCATCCTGCCATCTGTTCCCAGCTGCCTGTCAACACTCACTGACTGCACCTGCCCAGGGCTAGCCTTGGGGCGCTGGGAAGRGAGGAGGGAGGTAGGAATGTGAGTGGACACTAGTGACTGTCCTCAAGGCCTTGAGTTGAGGAGACCGTGTGAACTCTAAAGGAACCCGTGTGCCTAATGAAACCTCTGGAATGAAGTGGAATGGAGTACAGCCAGCCCTCTCTGTCGGCAGTTTCTACATTTGTGGATTCAATCAACTGCCTATTAAAAATATTTTTTAAAAAATCTTTGTCTGTAGTGAATTATGTATAGACTTGTGGGGGCGGAGTGTGTGTGTGCGCGCGCGCACTGTTGGGTTTGAACCCAGGGCTTTGTGCATGTGAAGCAAACACTCTACCAACTGAGCTATATTCCCAGCCCTAGACCTTTTTTTCTTGCCARTGTCACCTAAACAATATATCTAACAACTATTCATATAGCATTTACATCGTATTAGATATTATAAGTAATTTAGAGATGGTTTAAGTTATATAGGAGGTTGTACATTGGTTATGTGTAAAAACTACACCATTTTGTATAAGGGACCTGAGCATTTACAAATTTTGGTATCTGCAGAGAGTCCTGGCACCAATCCCCAAAGGATGCCAAAGGAGGACTACTGAACTCAGGGCTAGAGTTCTAGTCTAGCCTCGCTTTTTTCTTTTTCTTTTCTAAGTGTTAAGGAGTGAATCCATGGCCTTGCATATGCTAGGCAAACACTCTACAACTGAGCTACCCACTTTTCAAGTGCCATAAATACCATCTACAGGAGCAACTCTTGGGCACTGGCTAGAAATGCAGTACCTCAGACTCTACTGGATTTCCTGAACCAGAGTCTGCATTTTAACAATCTCCCTGGAATTCCCTTGAATGTGGGTACCCTCTGAGAGGCACTAGTTTAAGGGGGATAGTGAAGAACAGTTTGGACATGGGCAGCCATATTTGGAGAAGGTGGTATCAGCCAGGGAGCAGTTGAGCCAGGTCTTCGAGGAGGCAATGCCTCCTCTAAGATGATGAGAGGAAGATATTTGAAGCTAGTGTGGAGCCAGGAAAGGACCAGCTCTTCCTGCTAATGATGATTAAATAAAGATAGGCTTTTCTTTGCAATGGGATATATCTGTGCCAAAGATCAATCCCAGTCCTCACACATGCCAAACAAGCACCCTTCCACTGAGCTACACTCCTAGTCTATTTCCTGACTTATGAAATGTGGAGCCTAGTCCTTACCAGCTCCATGTTACAGAGAATGGGGAGTGATGCCCTTAGGGGAACAGAATTTCAGTAGAGCAATGAATCCATTTTCTAAAGCATCTGATCTGGTAACTTTTGAATCTATCAGATCTGCATTTTTTCATTATATAGCTAGAGATTCAGTTTCCTTCCTAGAGGCAGCAAATGCAGTTGAAAAGCCTCTGCAATTCCAATGGAGGTTGAATTTGGTGATTTTAATTTTACACATAATGAAGCTGTGAGGTCTTGACTAAATCACTTCCCCAAGTGATCATTTTGTTTGAACTTGATTTTGTAGATTAGAAACTGGACACAGCTCAGCTAAGCAGTATATACTGGATAGCATTAGCGGGGGTCACTCACTGAGCTGGTGGCAGCCCTGGGTTAAGTGAGAAGATCCAAGGAGGCTTTATCCATATCTGGCACTGTGTTATGGCCTCTGGCTCTCCACATGGCTAGCTTGGGCTTCCTCAGAAGATAGTGGCCTTGAACTTCTTAGAAGGCCTCTGGCTTCCCAGAGGGCAGCAGTGGAAGCTGCAAAATCCCTTAAGAACTGGAGCTGACACATTATTACTGCACTCTGTTGGTCCCAGTGGTCATAAGCCCTACCCAGATTCATGTCTTAATGGATGGAGCACAMAGAGGTACAAGGAGGAAATAATCGGTTGAGTTATCTACAACAGGAGCCAGATTCCTTTCTTCTGCTTCTCCATCCTTAGCCCTTACTTTCACCTCATGATCCAAAGTGGCTGTTGGGTCTTTAACCAGCTGGAGCCACTCTTTCCCCCTTAAGGAAATTTCTRTTTAATCAGCCAGCTGGTCACGTGGTCACATCTTGTTGTAAGGCTGTTGTAAGACAGCATGCAGAGCTAGAAACCAGAGGTCTCTTCTAAGAGAGAAGGGGAAAATGAGCATCAGAAGGATCTGCCAGTTACTGTTTCTCCTTCTCCAAAACCAAGCCCCCTTGGAAGTTGTAGGGGGAAGAAGCCACCACTACCAGGCAAACCTAGAGACACAGGGAGGCAGGTCCCCCAAGTCATTTCCCTGGACACTCATGACCTCTCTCTGCTCCCAGTACACCACAGGCACGTGCAATGATTCAGTGATTCACAGCTGTGACCTGTGTGGCAAAGGCTTCCGCCTGCAGCGCATGCTCAACCGTCACCTCAAGTGCCACAACCAGGTAAAGAGACACCTGTGCACCTTCTGTGGCAAGGGCTTCAACGACACCTTTGACCTGAAGAGGCATGTCCGCACACACACAGGTAAGGCTGGGGCCGTGTGCTTTGCTATTAAGTCTATGTTTTGGGGCCAAGAGTTCCTGTACCTTTCCCTTCTAAGAACCAACTCAGAAGTGTGGAGCAGGGTCCTATTTCTGGAAAGGTCACGTAGACTGAGTATTTGGTGCCAGCCCATCTGGGTTTGTTTCCTGACTCTACTCCCTGCCAGCATGCCAAGCAAACTGCCTCCTGTGGCCTGTTTTTGCCCCTATAAAATGGGGATAATGATATAAGTGCTGGTGAGTCTCAAAGCAAAGGATTCTGAGAATTATGATGCATGAAACAAATGCTGGGGGATATTGTAATTCAGCCCTGACTGGTCCTGACTTCTGGAATGTGATTCTGTGGTCTTACTATAAGTACTTTATTCCTCTTTCTTGAGAAGTAAGCCTGCCTTGGTATTTAGCTTTGTGTTCCTCCTAAGAGATCAAAAGAAGAAAAGGCTCAGCTCACTTAGAATTGACCTGAGCCTCCTATGTGAGCTTGGTCGATAAGCATCTTCCATTTGGCCCTCCTGTTTCCTGACTTTTTCTCCCCCCCCTCTTCAGAGCTGGGGATGGAACCCARTGCCTCACCCATGTGAGGCAAGTGCCCTACCACTGAGCTACACCCCCGGTCTATTTCCTGACTTATGAAATGTGGAGCCGAGTCCTTACCAGCTCCATGTTACAGAGAATGGGGAGGGATGCCCTTTGGCCTCACTCCCAGCCCTTCTGATGGGTCATAAGCCTCATTAGTTTTATCTTAGGGACATCTGGCCTCTAGGCTTCTCCACTAGGTGTGGCCCATAGTCCACACCTTTGCCCAGTGATCCCTTGAGGAGAATTTTAAGGATGCCATTTCCTTGGTAAAAAATTTCCAACTTCTGGCAGAAGGAAATCCAGACTCCTCATTTCTTGTTGGATGAGCTTCATGTAAAGTCCTTCACAATCTGGGTCCCTGTTGTCAAATCCCTATTCTATTCCAGCCTAACCCTCCCCTCATCTATCCCATCTCCTCCTCTCCGAACCTCCCTCAGGTCATCCCATCCCATCCCAACCCATTTCCATAATTCCTATTCCATCTCATTTGAACCCATCTCATCTCAACCCCTTCAGCCCCATCTAGGTTGCCACCTACCCTTCTAACAACCTCATAGAATTTACTCCGTGTAGTGACCCTGATCACTCAAGTCCTTTCAGAATTTAGAGTTTTCCCTGGCATTTTGGTTAAGTTAGGAGAAACCCCACTCTACCCTCCAGATGGACTCCCCAGCTCCTCACTCACTCATAATGCTGTTCTTAAGCCCTCTGTATTCCATTTTTCTTTCATAGTTTTTATCATATGTTATTGTTCTTAGGGTACTGGACATGAGCTGCCTCCCTGGCAGGGGAAGAGTGTTTCCCAATTTAGTGAACTGGCATATGAAAAGATACCCTTTTAATTTTTTCATTTAAAATATTTTTCTTTTTCTTTTGTTACTGGGATTGAACCCAGGGGCACTTCACCATTAAACTACATCCCTAGCCCTTTTTTTTTTTTTTTTTTTGTTATTTTGAGAGAGGGTCTCACTAGGTTGTTGAGGGTCTTGTTAAGTTTCAGAGACTGGCCTCAAACTTGTGATCCTCTTGCCTCAGTTTTCTGAGTGCTGAGATTATAGGCATGAGTCCCTGTGCCCAGCTATAATGTTTTTCTAAAGTGAACTTTTCGTTGAAAAAATGTAACATATATCTAGAAAAGTACACAAATCACAAGTGTCTAGATTAATGAATTTAGGAGTTTTTACAAAGTGAATATGCTCATGCACCTGGCATCCAAGATAGGAATCAGAATATTTCCTGCCTCCTCCAGGTCATTACCTCCTTGCCTCCAAGGGCAGCCACTATCATAACTTCTAACAGCATAATTGACTTGCCTATTTTGGAACTTAATATAATGGACTCCTATAGAGTATACTCTTTTTTAAAAAAATATTTTTTAATTGTAGTTGGACACATCACCTTTATTTTATTTATTTTTACATAGTGCTGAGGATTGAACCCAGGGCCTCACATGTGCTAGGCAAGCGCTCTACCGCTGAGCCACAACCCCAGCCCCATAGTGTATACTCTTTGAGTTTGTTTGGCTATAGTCTTCTTTTTTTAATCTCTAAGATATCATCTTTTTCTTCTTCTTCTTCCTCCTCCTCCTCCTTCTCTTTTTCCTCCTTCTATGTCTTCTCCTCTTCCTCATCCTCCTTCTTTTTTATCCTAGTGAATCAGTAAAGTCTAACTTTTGAAAGGCCAGGCTAGTCATTAGGGGGACAAAGTGCTTATGGAGTGGTGGGGTCCTATAAGTGATGATCTGGCAGAGTAGTGTAGGATCCTGGAGAGGGCAAAGGGTTACAGAGTAGCTGCAAATCTGGGCCTGGGGGCAGCTGGCCCCAGGGGCAGGAGGAAATCAGGAACTACTTATTAGGTCAATTGTCATTTCTGCTAGGAAAGTTTCTTAGCTTCTTCATCCCTATCTGAGGATACCCCTGAGGACCTGGCCTGTTGATTCTGCTCCTCACCTGGTAGATTCTATAGTCACTCCTCTACCCATGCTCTCTAGGGCTCAGGGAACATGGAGGGCTACTGATACCTTCACTTGTGATGAACATTGAAAAAATAAAATAAAAAAAGTTGGGGATGTAGCTCAGTGGTAGGGCACTTATTTAACACAGTGAGGCCCTGGGATCAATCTCCAGTACTATGATTAAAACAAAAACCAAGAGCTGGGTGATGTAGTACAAGCTTGTAATCCCAGCAGTGAAGCCCTAAACAACTCACAGAGACCCCATCTCTAAGTAAAATATAATAAAGGGCTGAGGATGTGGCTCGGTAGTTAAGCGTCCCTGAGTTCAATCCTTGGTACCAAAAAATAAAATAAAATAATAACAAAAACTCATGTCTATGTTAGCTGACCATGAGCCTGTCTACATCACTTATCCTTTCATTTTAGCTTTTCTTTCTCTTTTTCTTATTTTCCATTTTGGTACTGGGGATTGAAGATACATCTGTAATCATCAGCAACTCATGAGGCTGACGCAGGAGGATTGCAAGCTTAAGGCCACCCTTCGCAACTTAGTGAGACCTTTTCTCAAAATGAAAAAGGCTGGGGATGTAGGTCAGTAGTAAAGCTAGTGGTTTCAACCCCCCCCCCAAAAAAAGCAAGTGCTTAGTAGATTTTAATTATTGTTAGTAATATTGTTAATTATTATTAGTAGTAAAAGTTTCAGCAATTGACAGGTTTCCTGAGAACCCAAGATGTGGCAGGCCCTCTGTGCACACTCAGCTCTGTAATTAGGAGGGCTCAGCCAACAGTGAGAAATACCCCAGACATCCTCCTGTCRTACAAGTGAAGTATCAGAGGTGCCAGTAAGAAGAAAAAGTGGCCACATGTCACTGAAGCATCCTGGCAGGTGTATTTTTCCTGATGGCATACCAGGAAGGCCTCTCAGAGGAGGGGGCCTTTAGGCTGATCTTGAAGGATAGTGAGATTTCCATGGAATGTATGGAAGGAATGGGAAGGCACTGCAAATAGAAATGTCTTGGTTTGAATTACCCCAGAAGAGTACCCCAACACAAGGATTTGGATATACACAGTTTATTTAGGAGGTAATCCCAGGATGCATGGTGCGGGAATGGGGAGGGGAGATAGGGAGAAGACAGCTAATATGAGTGCATTAATAATGAGCAGGTTACCACTGAGAGCAACTGGGGAACAGTCCCACTAGGGACCCTCTGAGGAACCACATAGAATGTRCAGGTGCTGGGTGCTGTGGTATTTGCCTGTAATCCCAGGGACTCCAGAGACTGAGACAGGAGGATTGCAAATCTGAGTCCAGCCTGGGCAATTTAATGAAACCCTGTCTCAAAATAAAGGACTAGGGATGCGAATGTGCCCCAGGTCACTCCAGGAGTAGGAAAGCTGGGATATTGTTCTGTCTACCTCCATTCCACYTTGTTTAGGGGTCCATCCTGGGACCTTCAATGCCCAGGCAGTACTCCCGCCCCCAGCCCTTTGCAAGCTTATTGTGTTTCCTGGGGAACTAGCTGCAGGTAGAAAGGTGCTGGAACCATCCGAGATGCCCTGGTGGTCTGCCGMGTTAACCTGTATAGGGTGTTGACAGTGTCTTCATCAGGGAGGYAGAAGAATTAGCAGGTGAGGTGGTGGCTCATCGGTGACTGGRAGACTCCTTCAGATGGCAGAGAGCTACACATGATCCCTGTCCTGCATACCAGGTCTGCAACGTTGATCCCATTATCTCAAACAACTCCAAGGAGCCATTACTATTTTTTATTAGCCCCATTTTACAGATGAGGGAACCAGGCTTGGAGAGCTCACATGATCCATATGTGGTAGAGTTGGGAACCAAGACAGTCTGGTCCTGAAGTTCAAGGTCATTTATCTTCTATAGGATCCCTGTCTCCCTCATTGTATCCCAGGGCCTTCTGGTTTTCTTCTTGAGGCAGGAGTCTCACCAGCCTGCCCCATTGCAGATTCTAGAAGCTTGATTAATTCTGAAGGAAGGTGAGATAAAGGGAAATTCAGAGCTGGCATGAACTGTGCACTCCAGGATAGTAGTTAGGAGGTTCTAGAGAAGCCTGTGAGTGTATGTGTTCAGTGTGCCAAGATGCCCTCTTCCACGAAAGGGACAGCAGGAAAGGGGGAGGCCTGTAACCCCCTGGTTCCCAGCTTCTGTTCTTCAAAGGTGAAATTTCTAGTGACTTTCGTGTAGTGCTGAAAATCACAAAAGTTAGTACATAAATACACTTTCCAGCTGATGCTTTTGTAAAGGTCTTCTTCACCCAGTTTGTCCATTGGGGAAAGGCCTAGGCAATGTCTAGCCATGGAGAATGTGGAGCTGTGTTAGCCAGGACAGCAGCCACTGTCTGCATGTGACTACTGAGCCCCTGCATGGAGCTGAGCTGCATTGAGACATGGTTTAAGCATAAAACAAACACTGGATTTTGAAGACTTGC